ACGAGACTGGAATAAGAACCAGAAATTTCTGTTTATAATCAAGACAACTACAAAGAAAAAGAGGGGATAATGTAGCTACAGAATTCCCAAAAGATGAATAAGTCAAGTAGATATCAAGATAAAGCGCACTGTTTAAAACTGGGGAAGAAATTAATAAATCAAAGGGTAACCTTAAAGAAAATTAATACAACTTCATATCAAAATAAAAAAAGGAAAACCAGAAATATTTAGTAAGCATTAAAATAACAGCTATGAAAAAAATGAAAAGAAATTCCACAAACAAAACTAAATCAGCACAGAAACTTATTTGGAACAAAGAAATCAGCAGTGCTACAAGTAAACACAGAAAAGTGACAGCAATGAATTCATACCTATTGATAACTACACTGAATGTAAATGCATTAAATGCAACAGTCAACAGACAAGAGAGTAACAGAATAGATAAGAAAACAGGATCCTTCAGTATGCTGTCTATAAGAGACATACCTTACAAAGACAAAAGTAGGCTAAAAATCAAAGGATTGAAAAAATGTATTACACAAATGGCAATCAACTACAAGCAGATATGGAAATAGTAATCTCTGACAAAATTGACTTAAATGCAAAAAGCTGTGTAAGAGACAAAGACATGATTAAAGGGTTAATGGAATAAGAGGAGATACCCATAATAAATTATGTTCCCAATGAAAGAGCCTCAAAATACCTAATTCAAACTCTAATCGAATTGAAGAAAGAAATAGACAAGTCTACAATAATAGTTGTTGTTGTGAGGTTATGTCAAGTCAGTTCTGACCCATAGCGACCCTGTATAGGGTTTCCAAGGAGAGGCTGGTGGGTATGAACCACCAACATTTCAGTTAAAAGTCCAGTGCTTATCCTACATCACCAAACTAGTATTACTATAATGATAGTAGATTTTAATATATCACTTTGAATGAAGGATTAAACAACTAGAAAGAAAGTCAACAAAGACACAGAAGAATTACAACACAATCAACTTGACCTCATAGACATACACAGAGTACTCAACCCAAAAACAACATGGTACACATTCTTCCCCATAGAATATTCTCCACAATAGATCATATGTTAAGCCACTAAACAAACTTCAATACATTTTGAAATGCCAAAATACTACAAACAATTTTCTCAGATCATATGATAAAATCAGAAGTGAACAATGGAGAGATCAAAGAAAAAAGCAAATATATAGGAACTGAGTAAACACCTGCTTACAAGTTACTGGGTAATTGTTGCTGCTGCTTTTCAATGCCATTGAGCAGATTCCAATTCAGAGTAACCCTGTATAGGCTTTCTGGGGAGTGGCTGGTGAGTTTTAATTGCTGACCTTGTAGTCCACACTGACCTTGCAGTCCAGTGCATTATCCTGCAGTGCCACACCAGGACTTGGTAATAATAGAAATTATTTTAAAAAGAAATCATAAAATTTTCCTTGAATCAAATGAGAATGAAAGCATTACATACCAAAACCTTTGGGACACAGCAAAAGCAACGCTGAGAGGGCAATTTATAGCAATAAATGTATGCCTCCCAAAAGTAGAAAGAGCCAAAATCAGCACCTTAATATAACATCACCAACAATTAGAACAAAAGCTGCAAGGTGAGCCTGCAGCCACCAGAATAAAATGAATACTAAAGGTTAGAACTGAAATAAATGAAAAAAGAAATAGAAAATAAGTTGAAATCATCAGCAAGCCAAGAAGCTGGTTATTTGAAAGGATTAATAAAATCTAAAGACCACTGATAAATCTAACAAAAGAAGCAGAAAATGCAAATAACATGAATAAGAAATTATATGGGTGGCATCACAACAGTACTAATGGAAATAAAAAAGATAATAAACTATAAAGAATTATACACCAATAAATTTGAAAATCTAAAAGAAAATGGACAAATTCCCAGAAATACATAACTTATCTAAACTAACACAGACTGAAGTAGAAAATTTGACCAGACCTCTAACAAAAGAAGAAATTGATCTAGTCAATTAAAAATCTACCAACTGAAAAAAGTTCAGGGCCAGATGGTTTTATTGGTGGATTCTACCAAACATTCAGAGACGAGCTGACACGAGCCCTACTCAAATTGTTCCAGAAGATAGAAAAGGGTGAGTAGCTCCTGAGTTCAATTGATGAAGCACGCATACCCCTGATACCAAAACCAGACAGATAAAAAAGAAAATTATAGACCAATATCCCTCATGAACATAGATGCAAAAATTGTCAACAAAATCCTAGCCAGTGGAATCCAACAACATATCAAAAAATAATAATAATACATCATGATCAAGTGGGATTCATACCAGATATGCAGAGAATCTGGTACTGTCTGACAGTGTTCCACTGCTATTCATGAGTTTTTCAGTGACTAAGGATTTCAAAAGTATTCCATCTCTCCTTCTTCATAGCTTCATAAAGTGGAAGGTCATAAAAAAAGAGGAAAACTCCCAACAAGATGGATTGGGCTTAAGTGTAACAACAATTGTGAGGTTGGCGCAGGACGGGCGGTGTTTCGTTCTGTTGTGCAAAAGGTTGCTGAGTCATTATTGGTTCCATGGCACCTAGCAATAACAACAACATGCAGGAATGGGTCAATATTAGAAAAGTAATCAAAGTAATCCAGCACACACATCAAACAAAGGGGAATAAAAACCACATAATGGCATCAATCAAAGCAGAAAAGGCATTTAACAAAAGCCAACACCCATTCCTGATAAAAAACACCCAACAGAATAAGAATAAAATGGAAATTTCTCAACATAATTAAGGGTATATATATATAAAACACCGAAT